CTCTGTTAGTGATTCTATGTTTACAGAGTCTTTTTTATTTTTTTCTTTATTTTGGTAAGTAGGTTTATTAATTTTCCTTGTGGTTACTCTGAAATTTCCTTTTCTCTTCCTAAGCTTAAAACAGTGTGTTATATCTTGATATTGCCTTGACATCCTCTCCACATGGAAATTCTGTAACTACACCATTTATTTCCCCTTTTTGTTTTGAAGTTGTCATTTACAGATTGACATCTCTGGTTTCCTGTTTTCAGTTTTGCAACTTTACATTTCAGAATTCTTTGTCCGGGTTGGTATCTGGGTGATATTGTCATACATCTCAATCTCAGGTTGTTGTCTGATGTTGTTGGTTCTCTGTCCGAAGGACTCCTTTTAATATTTCTTGTAAGGTTGGTCTAGTTTTTACAAATTCCCTTAATTTCTGTTTTTCTGGGAATGACCTAGTTTCACCATCGTACTTGAAAGACAGTTTTGCTGGATATATGATTCTTGGTTGGCAGTTCTTTTTTTTCAGGGTTTCATCTATATCATTCCACTGCTGTCTTGTCTGCTTGGTTTCTGCTGAGAAATTAGTGCTTGGTCTTATTGGTGCCCTTTTGTAGGTGATATTTCATTTTTCATGAGCTGCTCTCAGAATTCTTTGTCTTAGGTTTTGGAAAGTTTGATTATGATATGTCTTGGTGATTTTCTTTTGAGGTCTATCCTGTATGGGGTTCGTTGAGCTTCTTGGATGGAAACCTTCTCGTCTTTCATGATATTAGGCAAGTTTTATATCAGGAAATCTTAAAAAATTCTCCCTATTGCTTTTTTCCCCTCTCCTCTTCTGGAATTCCAGTTATGTGTAAATTCTTCCTCTTGATAGTGTCCTGCATAGCTCTTAGACTTCATTTTTCTTCATTCTTTTTTCCAATTGTTCCTCAGACAGATTAGCATCAAGGGATTTGTCCTCTATTTCGCTGATTCTTTCTTCTATTGCTTCAGTTCTACTTCTGTGTCCTTTGACCGTTTTATCTATTTCTGAAATTTTATTGTTAATCTTCTGGATTTCTAGATGTTGTTTTTGTGTGGTTTCTGATTGTCTATATATTTTGTCATTATATTTTTTTCCTGAATTCTTCTAGGATTTTGTCTGTGTTTTCCTTCATCTCTTTGAGGAGCCTATATATAAATCTTTTTAATTCTTCATCAGGTAGTTCCATTACCATTTCTTCTCAGGAAGGTTTTCTGCCCCTTTATTTTGCTCACTCGTTTGAGCCATCTTATCCTGTTTGTTCATATGATTTGTTATTGTCTGCTGTCTCCGAGGCATTAAGGTGTTGATTTATTTATAGATTGATTGATTGAGTGTATGTATGTTTGTTTTGTGCTGATCTTTTAAATTTGTTTTGATGTATTTGTAGCTTTGTTTCTTCTCTTTCTCTTTGGAGTATCTTTCTTCCTTTGTATTATTTTAATTGTTGTTATTTTATAGTTCTGTTCTGTGTGTGACTTTGGTGGTGTCTTTTGGCTGTGCATGATTTCCTCTCATTGGTGGGTATGGTATGTCTCACCCATGTGCTGAGTCCTCTGTGGTTAGGCTCGTATGTCTTCCCTTACTGGATTGAGTGGAGGCAGGCAGACAGATTCTTTTCCCTGATATTAGGTGACAAGTGTTGGGTGGCTAGGGTCCTTCCACAACCCTTGTGGGACCGTGGGGTCCTTCCAAGTTCATGCTAGCAGTCAGTGCATTCTCTGGAGGTCAGGGCAGGACATCTCCATATGAGATGTGAAGGACTACTACCCAATCGGATAGGGTAGGCTCACTGCTCATGAATGATTTGGCATCTTAGTAGGTGGTGGGGTATCAAGGGGTTTCAGCGCAAATGTAGATGGCCTGCAGGAACTGTTTGAGTGTGGGATATCTGATGTTGCATCCGGGCAGATGTTGGGCGCAGGCACTAGAATCTCCAGCTCGCCATTTGGCAGTAGTGTGATGGTGCCTGTCAGGATGTGACTAGTGTTGCTGATGAGATGATGTGTTTGTCCATCCGGTCGCTGGGGCGTGGGTGCAGGGAGTGTTCCCACTGCATTTGTGCACTCCCTATCTACACTCTTTCCTTCTCTAAGGCTCTGATGACTCAGTCTGTTTTGCTTGTT